CGGAAGGACACTGTTACTTGAAGCATGCAGTCTGCTCTTCCAAAAAATGTGCTTATTCACCCCTGTAGGTGCCTGTCTAGGCAAACACCTTGTCCGGGCAATCTTGTAATCTACAGTGTTATCTGCTTCTCAACAACCCAGATTAGTCAGGAGTGCTCCTAAGTGTTTATCCCACAGCGCACAGCCTGCTCAGCAATTTTCAGACCTATCGTAAACATCTCTTGAACTGCCTTTAAACCCCGAGTAACCTGTTAGATCCTGTTGCTGACACCAGACTGCAGCAGGTTATCAGAGAGAAAACATGCCCAGTGGCCCTGCAGCTGCTTCACAAGGGTCGCTCTGCCTACATGTGACCTAGTGTCTGCTAAATCAATGGATTTTATTTTAAATGCCATTTAAAAAATGTCCCCTGGCTACTCCATGAAAATACATAAATGTCAGAAATTGAAAGCCTAATGATGCCTAGATGGCAGGTCCTCGGCTAAAATTAATGCTGCATAATAACCCACAAACATCCTATAGTGTCAGTAGAAAGAAAAAAAAATGAGCACACTAGAATTCAATTCACAAATTCAGCTAATACTCTTCTTACAAATAGTACACATGCCTAAGTTTTCATTTGACTTTCCCAGGGCCTACTTTGTATTTTGACAAGCAGAAAACAAGCACACAAAAAGTGTCATTCTACTTTTAGGTACATAGTTGTAATGACAAACTTAAGTGGTATGTTTATAATGGATCCATACTAGTACAATGGCATTGTATAGAACTTATCCATCCCAAATCACGCAAAGTCAACCTGTGACAACACTAACAAAGTTAATACATTAGAATATCATTTATAAGATTTGATTCCACTCTTAATTGGTTTAAAATTATTGCATCATGCTTGCCTAGGGTCTGCAGGGAACATTTCTAACAAGGACATCTTTCCTGGATTTCCAATCACTAATGTGAATTTTGTTGGGGGAAAACTGAGTGGATAAGGACATAGACTACAAAGTGACTAAAATCAGATAAATGATACTGCAGATGTAGTTTAAAAACTAACTAAACTGGCTGAGGCAGGAGAATCACAGAAGCCCAGCTGGGCAACATAGTGAGACTGTGGGTCCTAAAACAAAAGAAACAAATAAATTAACCAACAGCATAACTGTCTGAATACTGTAAAAGACAGAGGCAGTTCATTTCAGATAAGAACAGTCACACATGATCTGGAATGGGGTGTGGATGGCGCAAAACAAAGGAAAGGAAACAATGCCAAGAGCAAGTTGTGCAGGTGGCCCATACACACCTGTTAATTCCAGCACCTGGGAGGCTGAGGCAACAAGAACTGTGAGTTCAAGGCCAGCCCGAACTACATATAGACACCCACCAACAACCAAAAGAATGCACATCTACAGAGCAAGTTCTAAGCAGAAAATGATCATCACAACTTTTTAACAGTGAGATTTCTTTCACAGACTTTTAGCTACTCTCAACTTGTTTATAGAAGCAGACTGAAAAAACATGTCAATATAAGAAAATTTGTATCAGTTTATGCTATCTTTATTTCTAACTTCTTAATTGAGTGATGCAACAACTCTTTATGCAAGAGGCACCCTCTAGACTCTAGGGATACAATGTTGATCAATTTTAATGGAATTGAGATTATTAGAGTGAGTGACAATAAACATCTGTCACATAAGTAAAACATTGTGTTACTAGCTCATTAATGCTACAAAGGAAAGGCACAGATTGTCTTGGGAGACTTTAAGTTTCCCTGGCAGGGCTGGAGGCAGGCTGGAGGACAGAGCAGAGCTCAGAAAGGCAGGCAGGAAGGTAGGCAGGATTTAGGGAGCTGTTCCTATCACCCAAATCTTGATGAAATGTAACCCCCAGGAATACAGGATTTCTTGAACATTTAGTTCAGGACTCAATGAGTCTTTATATTGTGGCTGTTTGCTGGGAAAGGGAATTTAGGTATTGGTGATCCTTGACTAAGCCAGACCATCTCTAGCAAAGACCACAGAGCTATGACAAAAGGCGGTCATGTCAGAAATACAAAGGTTTTATTGAGAGTAGACGGCATTATCACCACTGTGAGAATGATGCCTACACTTTCCTAATCTCTGGTTTTGAAAATGTTCGAAAAATTCAGTCTAAATGGCTATAAATAACCAAAGGCTTTGACAGGCAACAATCTGCAGGATTATTTCAGATCTTCTTCCAGAATACATGAATTTGACTCATATTTTGTTTCAACCCACTGTGAGGCAAACATGTGCTGGAAATACCTGCTGTCCTCTTCCCTGAACCATGACAGTCTGTCTGAAAAAAATATTCCTTTTACTCTTTGGGCCTCTACTCAAAAGCAAACCTAACAGTGTAGGAGGAGAACTAAATCTAAGATCAGGCCAAATCAGAGAGGAGATTAACCCTGACTACCAATCTAAGTCAAAGTCTGATATGTTTCCTGTCTTCGGGAAATTTATTTAGGAAAACAATACAGAGATGAAGCAAAGCAAGGATACAATTACAAAGCTATTGTGAGGAGGCATTTGGAGACCATCTCTTCCTGGGTTGCCCACTGAGATGCAGAACTCAGCTCAGGCTTGGAAGCTGAATGCTGGCCCTCAGTGGCAGAGCCAGCCCAGGAGCAAGGTCATCTGCCTGCTTCCCAGCACTCTGGTGACATGCAGGCCTTTGGCCCTGCACCTCAGCAGCTCCCTAATGTGATGTGAATCAGTATGTTAACTGCCCCTGGGTAGGCCAGCTCTATGGCGAGCAGGCCACTTGATTGTCCACAGAGGACAACACTGCCCGTATAGTTCAATACCATTTAAAAAACTATCCAGCTGCTTTCAAGTATAACTGCACTCTGATGACTTGACTTAATAAAGACTCACTTCTGTCTAACTAGGCTGTCAAAGCCGTGTTTACTCACTACATAAACAGATCAAGGGTATACTCACATCATTTTATGTAAAGATTCTACAACAGATCATGGAGCATCAACAAGGTTTACTCTGTTAACATAACATTAAGAAAAACAAACAAGTGTTTTAGTTGTATAGTGTCATGCATATAAAAACAATGCTAATTGTAAACCAGGCTTAGAATAACTTCTGAGGTCCTAATTAAAAAGTACAAAAAGCCAATTACAAATCACTTTATCAAGTTACTAAAGCAGAGTGCTATATAAACTTTAGTGTTTTATTTCAGCTAATCTCACATGAAAACAAGTAAAATTGAATATATTATTAAAAGCAAGTCAAAAGTTTAGATACAACAATATGCTTTCAAAAAGGGCTTAAAATCAATGAAAATTATCTAGTTGAAGTAGATAGTGAGTGTTATTAGCCATGAACCTCGAGTCAGAGTCAGCTGAGTCAAAAAAGCAAAAAAATAAAATAGGAATTTGATTCAAGTTCTAATTCACAAAATGTGAATGCTGGATGAATAAAATGAATTTGATGGTAGTTACTGACCCAATTATAAGAAAGCACAAGTGGAGACCAGCTAGTGGGCAATTATGAAGTATGAATGCATTTACAACACACACACCGATCATGCTATTATGATATTCTCTGCTTAAATGAGGGATTTGATCCTCTAAGTTATTGCAGATTTAATAAACAAATTTGTGTCCTTATCATGAGGTTGCATCTAAAGGCCCTGAAACTATAATTTACAAATCAACATTGCTACATTTTTCTTTTATTCAACTTCAAGTTATGACAATGAAGTACAAAGTAGACACCTTCACACATCAGCTTTAAGTTTTATAAAAAGCCTGTTGTGAATAATAAAGACAGTTGGCATACCCTTAAATAAAGACAGTTGGCATCCAATATTTTGCAAGACCTTTTCAGGGGCACTAAGAATTCGATATGCCAGCTTCCTTCAGAAACTAAACATCCCTCTCAAACTTTAATGCTACAAAGCAAGGTAAAATGGGAGATTTCAAATTCAAATGGATAGTATTTCAAATTGTTTCTGTCAGTTCCTTGGTAAACACACACACAAAAATGACACGTCAAGAATTCTTAAAGGATGTTGCTCACTGATCATTATTCAAAATATTCAGAATTGCATTTTTCATATGCACGGTAAATTTCCAAGTCAAAGGATTATGAAAAATATCAGCGCTTGGATCCAAACTTTGCCATGTTTTTAAAAGCAATCCTTTCCTTTTTTAACATGCCACTGTGAGATTTCAGTCTGTAGTTCAGCAATAAATATTAAACATCACTTTGGTAGACTAGCTCATCCTTAAGAAAAGTATTACAGTCAGTCCAGGGAACACATTTTTTGTGTGAAAACAGAAACCACATGCTTCAGTTGTCTATTACCACTGGTAGAATTTTTCTTTTCTCTTTCACTTTTACAATACAAAGAGGAATTCAACATTCTACACTCAACAATCATGAGTAGTATATTTGTGGGGTGATTCTCTGTTACAGTGGCCTTCGAAGAATTCTTTTATTAAGTTTTCATGAAACTTAAAAACTCTGAAAATTATTCATGGAGCCAGACAGAGTTCTCTGTTACACACTGTAATCTGACACTAGGCTGAAGAAGTTGACCAAGTTTAAGTAACCCAAGAGGAACTGTTTCCTGCTTTCAGTTAGAACAGCCTACAATGACCTATAGTAACACTGCCTACTCCGGGTTACTATCGGGCATTAAATGTTGCTATCAGGAAGTCAGTCATGCTTTTTTTTTTTTTTCTTTTTCTGTTTTTGTTTATCTATAAGACTTCAACTCTGTTCTTCTATTAAGTTTATAAGGACAATCCAAATCAAAAGAAGAGTTTGAAAACAGCACCCAGACCAACAAGGCAGCTCACTCTTTCATCTTGGGGTACACACTGAAAACAAACTTAAGTTATGGGGAACTTAGAACTTGTGCTACACAAAGCAAAATGAGCCTGGGAACATCTCCAGAGGTCGCAAGGGTCCGTTTCTGAATGGAATAGGAGGCGAATTTGACATTGCTTTATTTCAGCCTCACTTTACCTTGTCTGCTCCTGTAAGATGAGGTGCGGCTCCACGAAGAACTTGACTCTCAGTTTAAGCCGGTAGGGCGCTAGCCCATCCATCTGCTGGGAGATCCGGTTTCTCAGATTTAGCCATAAACTTTCACCTTTGCTACCAGTAAACTGCAGTCCAAAATAATCAACCTCTATGATCCCCAATCGCCTGCACACCTAAAACACAAATGAATGCAGGGTGGATAAGCAAATTGCACAATGCAGTCACAGTCAGGGCAAACCCAAGGGCTCCCTCTGAGTCTAAGACAACCCATATCCTTTACACAAACATGAAGGGTCTTATAATACCTGTTGTAAGTTCTAGGCTCCAACGATGATAAAACCTAGCTCTAATATGAAGCCTTGTCCTTCCTTGAGTAAACATATAAGGCAAGTTCAAGTGCAACAGAGAAAAAGGAGTCCCCAAAAGTAGCCTTCTCGAAAGGCTGAGGAGGGGGAATGAATCTACAAGGTTTTTTCCCTTTTTACTCCAAGCACTGGAATTCCCTCCAGCTGATTTGGCAGCTTGTTTTCTGGACAATTCTAACCATCTGGATTCCAAAAAACAAACACGTTGGGAAACACGCCACAAGTGTCAGCCAAGCTTTAGGAGCGATTCTCCAAACATCCCAGGTCTAGAGGATGCGAAGGCAAAGCGCTTTACTGGGATCTCATTTGCTGCTGTCTCCCACCAACTGTGCATGCATACCCTGTTTAGAACCCTTCTTCACTCTTAAGTAAACACATGTGACGAGACATCCAAGGACTAGATAGCCCAAACCTACGGTCCCGTTTTCCCCGCAAATTCACAAGGCAAGTGAAAAATTCAGTCCCTCTGAGAAGAAGCGTGAGACTCAGGCCCGGCTTGTCCTTTGCCACTGTACTCCGGCGCCCAGGACTGCTTCATGCCACCTACCCTGGGACGTGGGTGGCGCTGCCAGCATTCACGGGACCCCCGGGTGGCATCACGCACACACCTGCGGCAGGTGAGCCAGACGCCTTCTTCCAGGAAAGTGCGGGGAGGGTGGCTGCCTGCAGCGGTACCCGCGCCCCCCAGCCCCGGGGCCCCGCCGCGCGCGTTCTCTGCGCCCCACGTGCGCGCCCCACGCCGCGGGTAGGAGGAAGCTGCAGCCCGGGCTAGAGGCGCGCTCGCTGGCCACCGCTGCATCTCCACCCGAGCCCGGGCAGGCGCCGCGCCCAGGCGCCTGGCACCGTCAAGAGGCCCCTCGGCCTGGGGGGACCGGCAGGGGCCCCAGGCTGGCCCTCGGCCCGCACCTGGTTGAGGCAGTCCTCGCCGTTGGCTTTCGCCTCTACCTCCACCTCCATCAGCACCGCGTCCGGCCTCGTCACATAGCACAGCATGGCTGGGGCCGCCGCTGTCGCCGCCGCCTCCTCTTTGGTGTGCGCGGTGCTGTCGCCTCGCCACGGCTCGAACCCAGCCCCGGGCTCGGGGAGGAGTTGGCCCTCGGAAGGTGCAGCCCTACAGGCGCCCGCCCTGCGCCCCACGGACGACGACGACGCCGTCGCTGCCGTCCCCTTGCCTGCCTGCTCCACTCCCGTCCTACCCGGCGGGGCCGCACTCCAGCACCTACTGCCTGCGCCGCGAACAGACTCCTCAGATATACTGGCCCCACCCCCTCTGGCTCCAGATCCAGCCAATCACGATGGCACTGCCCCTCCTCCGCCGCGAAATCAACCAATAGCGGTGCCGTTTCAGCCACGACCCCGCCTCCCAGCGCCGACAGAGTTCCCCCGGCCGGGCCGCCAAAGCTGCAGGAGGAGGGCTGCCCTGCGCACGCATTCTCCTGTGCCCACTGGGCGACGCTGCTCCGAGCGAGCCGTCGCCTGGGGCTGTAAGCAGACGCCTGTTTGTGGGGCTCGAGTTTACGACGGACGTTTCCAAGCTGCCGCTATTTTTCACTCTGATAACGCACTTCGGTTCTGAAAACCTAGGAGAAACAGAGCAACCCAGAGCCTAGTTTTCTTTAGAAAACTATTTTCCACTAGGATTGGTTACAGTGGGTCGTTTGTGGAAGGCCAACGTGTTCCTTATTGTAAATTTCATCCTTGAAAAATCAAAACTCAAGTAAAAAAAAAATTGCGGGTTGATCAATTAGCCTAGTAGCCTGGTCTGGTGCTCCTTGCATTAACCCTTTCCAAGCCCTTTCCAACATCAGGGCTGTTGGATCAAAACGCCTTATGGAGCACCGGGCCCTGTCCCCTCTTCCCCATTCAACATTCTCTACCTGTCATTGCCATCAGACAACCAGATATTATCCCACATTTTAAAGGTAAGGGGCTCATCCTAGGACCTCAGAGGTGGATGACTTCCACAGAACTATTGAAAAAGCCGTCCGGCTCCACACTCATATCACTGCTTGTTCCTTTGGTCCATAAAGTAGCTTTCCATCGTTTTTGTTCTTCCCTGAGCCAGACTTGTGTGGATTTCAGCCTCGGAACCGGGAAAACATCATCTCTCTGAAGCTCAGCGCTGCCAGCAATAAAATGGAGAATGATTAGCTGTCTGCCTTTGCCTGCTGTTGCTGTGATGCACATGAAACGTAAAAGTGTCCATAAGAGCACTAGAATGCCCCTGTAGATACAATAATATATAAAACGAACTATAATGTCAGCTCTGCCCTGCAGCTGCTGACTTCCATTGCTAACTCTTTCTCCAAGAAGAAGTTAGGAAGATATCAGAGCACAAGTTAAAAGGAGAGATACCTTCATCAAGGCTAGCTCCTAGAAGAACGGTTTTGTTAAAGTCGTGACTCTTAATGTTATGGACAGATGCGTACAAAGTCCCCATGTTTCGTTATAGCTTATGAATGTGTGTCACAGTTTTAATGCTGTTTAAGATACTCCCTGATTGCCTCTATAACTCGTCTTCATTTCCTTAATACCAGTTTGCCCACCTGGCAAATTTATCTGGAAGACAACATTTGGATGGCTGTTACCTATATTTAATCTTTAGAAACTGCAAGCACAACAGAGGACCAATAAGCAGCAGGCCCATTGGATTGGTTGATACTTTCTCTTTGAAAGAAACCAAAGCTGGCAGACTCAATAACAAGGAAGTTAGGGGACAGATTTTTGAGAGCCCATAGAACCAGTGGGCACCATGTGCCTGAGTAGAGAAGGGAAATACTGTGTACCCAAGAATACTCAGAAACAAAACAAGCAAAAACCAACACATATTCCCATTTTGTGGAACAACGGTTTTAAACATAATTTCTACTTTTGGTTTTGGCAGGGTTTTTTTTTTCTTTTTCTTTTTTTCTCTTTTTTCAGGAATGTTTTCATTTTTAAGTACTCAGATTTTTTTTTTTAACTTTTTATTGGTACCAGGGATCCAACTCACGACCGCCTGCTTGCAAGGCAGGTGCTTATGCCACTGAGCTAAATCCCCAGCCCCTGAATGTTTTCATTTTTATTATTTAAAAATTTAAACAGCTAAAAACGTTTGCAGAAGCACAGGAAATGTCTAACAGGTTTTAAAATTTTATGATATATTTTTATTTTGAATAATCATCACTTATAAAAACAGCTGGAAAGTTAAGACTGATGGGAATATTTCTGTTCAAACCCATTATGTGTCTGCTAAAGGGTGATTGGTAAAAATTCAAATTGTCTTGAAATTAAGAATCAGAAGGAAAGATTGAAAAATTATTGTTGTTGTTGCTGGCTTTTTTTGAGACAAGTTCTCACTATGTAGCACAGACTAGCCTGGAGCTCACTATATAGGCCAGATTGGCCTCAAACTCAAAATCCTCCTGGTTTAGCCTTCGTAGTGCTGAGATTACAGGTGTATACCACCACACTTGGCAAGAAAGATTTTTAAAACAAAGCTTAGGAAAACGACACTGCGAGGGGAAAGAAATTTTGGTGTTTCCGAAGAATGCTGCATTCTACCAGTGTTTAGGGGGTAGATGAGATTAGGATCTATCCTTGTCTCTCTCTCTTCCTCTGTCTGTCTGTCTTATTGTTCCTTGAGCTGAGAGAGAGAGAGACTGATGAAAGGAAGGAGAAGGCTGAGTGAGCTGTGAGAAAGCACATTATGTTTAAAAGACTTGGTTAGGGAATAGAAAAACCACAGTAGAATTACTTCCTGGAGGATTCCACCATCTGCTAATGCTACAGAACGTCTGGTGCCAGTTTCAAGCCCCAGCTGGGTCTAACTCCAAAATAAGAGACTCTGAACATCCGGGGCTGGAGGTGGGAAAGTGTATTGGATTGAGTTGTAACTAAAGCTAGAGATTTGATCGTGTTGTTGCTGTCTGCTTTCTTTTGCGCTCAGCTAGCTACCATCTTTTAGAGAAAGCATTACCACGGAGTAGAATAGTAAAGAGAGTGCCTGTGTGATGGTAGATTTTTAAAAATAGAAACCATAACTGAGTGGTAGACTTGGTTAACCCAGTGGCATCTGGCTATTCAAACACCCAAGCACCACAGGTTTTCTCTCTGCCACATTTACAAGGTCGAGCGACTGAGAACTAGATAATGTTTGCAAGCTGTGCTGTGATGGTCACCTGGCTGCAGACTCTTCTGGCCGAGCACTCGGTCTGGATGGCTGGGTCCCCAGTTCTGCTTAGTCCACTCATAATGTTGCGTGCACCGCTGCAGACAACCCATGCTGGATAACGGACGGGCTCTTCAGAGAGGAACAGTCTCCCTTACCTGCCACACCTTCCCCTACCTGTCAGCATTCATCTGCAGAAGTACCAAGGGAAAAACATTTAGTGATGTCTAAAAAGCTGTCCTCTTGCTCCCACACATTATTCAAGCTAATTATTCACATAAGTAACGCTTCATTAAGCACAAGTGTGTTTGAATGTGATGAGTGAGCTGAAATTTCTAATTTGAAATATTAGCCTTATGAAATTCAAGAGTAGTTTAATTTGATTCTGCCCTACCATGGAAGCAGAACATCTCATTTCCCCAACTGGCTGTTGATAGGGGAAAAGAGGGAACACAGGAAGAATAGACAATGCCCATATTAAAAACCCTAGGAGATCGAAAATGGTATGGTGTTAATTAGCTGACTGCTTAAATGACTTTTTTTCCTAGTCATGACAGTAGTTATATGTTCATGGTAGATTACTTGAAAAAGAAACGTACAAAGAAAAAAATGAAGTATTTGCCATTTTGTCAAGACTTTCTATTTACTATTGATGTTTCAGTGTTTCACTTTGCATACACTGTTCTCTAAATATTGATTTATGATACAATCCAGTGTGAATATTAATTTCTAGAAGAGAGCAAGAGAGACTTGGGGTATGGTGTTCCAAATCTAAACCTAGTATTATGAATATTAGGAAAATTATAACTAAAACAAATGACCATGACAAGACAATTGCAGCTAGTGCTTTTCCTAGTTCTTTTCTCCTTTACAGTACTAACTTTTCCTCCATGTGTTTTCCTTTGCACTGCTCAAATGCCCTGAAAGTCCACATTTCATGATATGCTTACTTGTTTGACATGTATTTTAGTTGAGAAATGCTCAGAACTGCGAGATGATTTCCAAGTTGGCACATTTTGTTTAATGGCAATACTTTGATATCGTCTTGTTCTCTTCTGGATTGCTATAAGAGAATATTTGAGGCAGGGTAACTTACAAAGAAAAGAGGTCTAATTGGCTCAGTATTCTAGTGACTAGGGAGTCTAAACAGCATGGCATGTGTCCTGGTGAGGGACCCCTGGCTGCATCACAATCTTGTGAAGTGGAAGGGAAGACGACATATGCAGGAGGGGTACTTAGCCTAAGAAAGTGATCCAAGACAGCCCAACTCACTTTATGACGACCCATTTTCATGAGAATTAATCTAGATTCACGAGACCTGCGTTAATCCCTTTAGAGGCTTAATGCCCTGTGGCTTAATTTTCTTCTGCTAGCTCTCACCTCCTAAAGAACCAGCATCACTGGAGACTAGTTTCTGGCACATGAAAATTTCAGGGACAAATCAGGGTCAAACTGTAGCAGATATCTTTTACTTGTGGAAATAGTCAATAGACAGCCATGTGCTTTCTGAGTAGCTGAACAAATTTGATGACATGCATATGTGCTGATCCACCCACCATAGAGTTCACCCATTGTTCTGATTTCAAAAGAGAGTGGACGGTTCTGGGGCTGCAGTTGGAAGAACAGACTTCCAGTCTGCCTGAGGGTCTCTAACTGGCAGGTGTTTTTATCAGCTGATCTGTCATGACACCATTCCAGCCCTTCATGCCAGAACATGCCTTTCTCAAAGGACAGAAGAGCCAACTCACTGCATTCTGTGAGCAGGTGCGACAAACAACTCAGTAGGGTGGGCATTCCCAGCACCAGTGGCACATTACGGAGTACCCATGTTCCAGAGAAAAAGTGACAACTGTTAGAAATGCTACAAGAACAACAAAAGAATATGAAGTCAGCTGCATAAAACTAGCTTCAGATTCAGCAAGGCAGACAAGATAGCACAAGCTGCCAGCACTTCAGAATGAGGCAACTTCTCACTAAACTTCAATTGCACCATCTCTGCCCAGCTTATTTATTGCCACTGACATTTGAGTAATGTGTATTACTTGGTAAGCAGTCCTTATTTCACTGTTGTTAGTCAATATAT